GTCATGTACCCAGAATGCATCGCTTCAGTTTTCCAATAAACAGTTTTAAAATTACTTTATTGATTCTTCTTTAATGAAAAATCTACAACAAACAAAATAAAAAGACAAAGATCAGCCGAACTAGCAATCCTCAACAACTTTTTAATTTTTACACCAGGAGCCAAAGTTCTGTGTCAGGAAATAAACATCCCCAGCAATCGACACTTGTAGGATTAAGCTGTAAAGGGGTTCGTACACCGCTAGTTGGCAGTGTTTTGCATATATTGTACATGAATTGTTGCTAGCTAGTAAGTGTCAAATTGAGATTGCACTTTAAAATTAGCTTCCGCTAGTTTTTCTATGACATAAGCACTTTTGAAGTTGCGGACCTAAATAGTTTCAGAAGCGCTTTAGAAATTGCGGAGCTAATTTTTGGATTAGCGCTGCCCACCACTGGCCACAGTCAGTTTCTGCATACTCCTCTTTGTTAGCTRTACACTCATATGGCATATATACATTCATTAAAATAAACTTCAATCCCAATCATCCAAACCAGTTCAAATCTTAACACTTTCACCTGGTTATCAAAGATCTTCCTCGAAAAACTGGCTACACCACCAGGTATCCTGCTTTTAATTAAATTAGAACAGAGATCAGTAGTTGACTCTCCAGCACTATAAAAGTCCTTATGTAACTCGTTCAAATTACTAAGGTCCTGTTTTGCTAAAAAAGTCTCGTACACATAAAAAAATCACTAACTTTCATCAGTACAAAGTGACAAACGAAGGGGCAGAGCTGATTGGCCACCCCCAAATAATTGACAAGTGGGGATCTTGGATTTTGTWTATTAATATAGTTATTGTTCACGATTGCTCTCTGATACTATATAGTCTTTAAAAAGCTTGTCCACAATAAAACGCTGTGCTTTGTCCCCATCATTATGTCCTATATGCAMACCACGAGCATTGTAAGACACAATGGAAAAAGTCATTTTTAGTCATTCATCTCTTAGCCGCTGTTCTCATCCGTCAGGTCATTCCTTGCGTAGTTGAGGGATGATCAGCTGCATTGTTTTTATGTCGGTTGCCACGTGCTTCATAATAGCGGTGAATATACGCCCCAGCTGGCCATAACTCTGGATCATACATGGTGTTAATGGCATTCAGCTGTGACATGAAGTGAGCATTAGCGACTTTGAGCAGAGGCAATCTTTTTACACATAACCGTTTTGTTGTTTAACTTTTCCATAAGATATTCCTTTAAAGTGTCAGCTCCAAGGGCGGGATCAAAACAAGAGGCAAAGAGACTCACCCGCTTAGTAGTAAACACCTGARTGCTACGAGCAGTGCTCGTGCCTGTTATGCCAGTAGTTTTCTTCCATACACGCTGTATTGGGGCTCGCATGGCTACCCCCTCGTTATCACCCATAGCCCGTGGCACCTTCTTAGTATGGCGTCTTCTCTTGACAACTGTGGACCACTCAGTCCCTCTGGGTTGAACTCCAGCAGCCCTACATTCCTCCATGTGACCTGCTGACTCAACAGGAACAGCAAAGCCAGAACTACTGCTCTTCTCCTGGAATGCAGTCTCCCCAGTTTGACCATCAAAGGTGTTCCTGGACTGGTCAATCAAATCGATCTGACGTTCCAGGGCCGCTGCTATTAACTGCTGATTTTCACACRCCTTGACCTGCTCCCGAAACGTTTCCCTCATGGTACATACGTCACTGCTGAGTCGCTCCACTCTGCCCAGGAGTGCAGCGGCATCCAAACTTCCAAATCCAACCACCGGCAAATCATCCAGATAGTGCAATACAAACYGTGGTATGTTTCCGCTGCATTCATTCAACACTTTAATGCAGGCTTTGATGTTATTAAAGGGGCAATGTCATGTAAAATTAACTTTTTTGAGTTTTATATCATGTTATAATG